CAAATTTTTTTTGGACCAATCGATAGGTATTGTCGAGACCAATACATTTCAGTTAAAATTTTTTATCTAGAATAAAAATTGTGGGCGTCACAGGTTTTCGCGGTTTGTGGGCGTTAGAGTGGGCGTGGCATATTCGCGTAACAAACTTGCGCTGCGTATAAGGCTACGAAATCTAAATCTGAAATCCCAATTCTCTATCTTTGATAGTTTCCGAGATATCAACGTTCATATTTACGATTTTTTGAAGTTTGTGGGCGGTTTATGGGCGTTAGGATGGGCGTGGCAACTTTTTTTTTGGGTCAATCGATAGGTATTGATGAGAACATTACATTTCAGTTAAAATTTTTATTCTATCATCAAAACTCTAGGAGCCACAGTTTTAGGCGGTTTGTGGGCGTTAGAGTGGGCGTGGCACTCTACTGCGCTGCGTAAGAAGCTCAGGAATCTGCACGCCAAATCTCAATAGCGTAGCTCCCATAGTTTCCGAGATCTCAGCGTTCATCCGGACAGACAGACGGACAGACGGACATGGCTAGATCGACTCGGCTAGTGATCCTGATCAAGAATATATATACTTTATGGGGTCGGAAACGCTTCCTTCTGCCTGTTACATACTTTCCGATGAATCTAGTATACCTTTTACTCTACGAGTAACGGGTATAAAAATTACTAACTGAGTCGCCTAAACGTAAAAAAACCAGCTTAGCGGCAGTTAATACGGTCACGGTATCCACCTCAAATCCGAACTTGGTGGCGGCAGCAGTCTCTGTTGACACTGTGGTAAGTGAACCCACTGCGCCTATGGATACAGCTGTTTTAGGTGAAGTCACTGCTTCTCGAAGTAGGGTGGTAAAAAAACCTTCAGTGCCGGCTACGGTGCCGACCGTACCTATAGGTACAGAAGTTACCGTTTCTGGCTCTCAGCTTAGTGAGGTGCAATCTGCTGCTGGGGGACGTAAGAAATTATCAGTTGTTCCACATAGAAAACAATTATTTGTTTCGAGATTCACCCCAGATACCACATCTGAGGATGTTTTGGAATTTAATCGTGAAAAATTCCCATCCGAGAATATTTCAGTTGAACAATTTAGATTTTCATATGCTCGTAGTATATCGTCGTTTAAAATATTTGCTCCGCCTGATGTGTTTAAGGTACTACTTTCTGAAAGCTTTTGGCTTAATGATGACTTAGTAATAAAAGAATTTGTTCCCAATAAACCGAGAACAAATAACAGACCTTCCACTGCGCCAAAAAACTAAAAAGTTTATTTTTGGCTTATCAAAATGTTAGGGGACTAAATATGAAGCTACCCAAGCTTTATGCTGACTCCTCTGCATTTACTGCTGATATTTTGGCTTTTACGGAAACTTGGCTGAAACCAGAGATATCTGACAATGAAGTTCTGTCAAACAATTTTAATGCCTATAGGACCGATCGCTCCTCACGTAGGGGAGGCGGTGTGCTGATTGCCGTTAGCACTAGCCTAACATCCGAGAGAATTCACTCTGATACTCCTAATGAAATTGAATTTGTTAGTGTGAAAGTTTCCTTGCAATCATTCTCAATATTTGTTACATGTTCCTATATTCCACCTGGCTCTGATTTAATAATTTATGAGCACCACCTGTCTGCGATAAAATCTGTTCTATCCCTTCTTTCTAACAGTGACCTTTTGATTGTTTTGGGTGACTTTAATCTCCCTGATATTTCTTGGTCTCCTCCTATTGACTCACTAGTCGCTATACCTCTATCCGCCCATGATTTTGTAGATGGTCTTCTAGAATTATCGTTACAGCAAGTAAGCTTTATACGGAATTCATTAAATAGACAACTAGATCTTGTGTTTGTTTCAGACCCGTCTGAAGTCACGGTATCTAGAATTGGTGCTCTTGTTGTACCTGAAGACCGATATCATCCAACAATGGAATTGACAATCTGCCTCCCATGCGTTGATACCCTCTCTTCTTTAGTTTCTCAAACTAAAGTGAGATGTTTCCGAAAATGTAACTATAAAAAACTTAACGACATGATTTCTCAATATAATTGGACAGAATTGTACAATTGTATGGATATTGAAAGTGCCACTGAACACTTCTATATAGTGTTAAATACCTTTTTTAATGAATGCGTTCCTGATAGGTTTCCTTTAAAGACAAACAGGCCACCTTGGTTTACCAATGCGCTTCAAAGACTTAAAAACCTTAAGACAAACACTTATAAAAAGTATAAGAAATCGGGTAAGCCATCTGATTTTTCGAAATATGTGGTGGCTCGATCGGATTTTAATGTTCTCAATAGTCATTGCTATTCTATGTATTTAAGTCGATGTAAATTTGAATTTTCAAATGATCCGAAGCAGTTTTATAACTTTGTCAATGCCAAGCGTAAGTCGTCAGCATTGCCTTCATCGTTACGTTTTAACTCAATGGAGGCATCGACGGATTCTGAAATTGATGATTTATTTGCCGAGTTTTTCCAAAGTTCGGCTGCTTGGACAAATTCTAACTACCCTAATCCCTTAAATAAGGCAAATTGTATCTTTACCCCTGAAATTACGAAAATTTCTCTCGTAAGAGACTTAGAAAAAACAACGCCAACTTATTCTCCCGGTCCTGATGGACTCCCCGGGTGTGTGCTTAAGTTTTGTGCGTCAACCATATGTAAACCGATTCTTAAACTTTTTAATTTGTCTATTTCATCGTCAGTTTTTCCTACTATCTGGAAGGACTCTTTTATCATTCCACTTCACAAAAAGGGTGCGAAGGCGGATGCCCAGAATTACAGAGGTATTTCTAAATTGTCGGCAATTCCTAAAGCATTTGAACGTATTATTACTTCTCATTTGCAACATTTATGTTCCTCGCTAATATCACCGTGTCAGCATGGTTTTGTTAAGCGAAGATCGACCACCACCAACGTTCTGGAATTGTCATCTATTGTAATAAATGGATTTAAGAATAAAATGCAGACTGACGTTATATACACTGGTTTTAGTAAGGCCTTTGACTCTGTCAACCACTCTCTTCTCTTATTCAAATTAAATCAGCTTGGGTTTCCATGTAATCTATTAACTTGGATTTCAAGTTATTTGAATGGTAGGACTCAGAGGGTTATATTCAAGAACGCTGCCTCAAAACTGATCTATGTGACATCTGGAGTGCCTCAGGGTAGTCATTTCGGCCCTTTGCTGTTTACTTTGTTTATTAACGATCTTCCCTCTATCATAACACACTCTCGTGTACTAATGTATGCTGAAGATGTTAAGCTTTGTTTATAACATAATGATATAGCGTCGGGTTTCAACTTACAGTCAGATATTGATTGTTTTCAGGGATGGTGTGAGTATAACCTTTTAAATTTGAACTGCCTTAAATGCAATGTTATGACTTTTCATAGGGGTACTCCTACTTTTGTTAGTTACTCTCTTCAAAATACACCACTCGACCGTATATATTCAGTTAATGACTTAGGCGTTCTTCTGGACCCAAAACTTAAATTTGACTGCCACATAATGGCCACTGTCAGCAAGGCCATGAGTGTTCTTGGGTTTATAAAGCGTTGGTCAAAAGAATTTGATGACCCTTATACAACCAAATTATTTTTTACCTCCCTTGTCTTCGGTTTGGAGTCCACAATATCAAGTGCATATTGACCGTATTGAGTCGGTACAAAAAAAAATTTCTTCTTTTTGCCCTTCGTAGTTTGAACTGGGATCAAAACATAACGCTACCTTCCTATCAGAGTAGATTACTATTGCTTAATTTACCTACCCTTACAAATCGTAGAACAATGCTTGGTACTATTTTAATGCAAAATCTTATAAGAGGTGATATTGATTCTGTAGAACTTGTAAACCGCCTAACTTTCAATGTTCCTGTTAAACTAACACGAAATTATTATCCCCTAAATTTGCCACGATGTACATCTAATTTTTGTCTGCACGAGCCCTTTCGCGTTCTATGTAATAATTATAACAACTTTTACCATTTAATTTGCACTTCAACTTCTATCCCGGTATTAAAAACTAATATTTTAACTCATTTGCTTCATTCTTAGATGCTTCTTTTATTTTCATTTGTGTCCCGTCTCTATTTGTTTTTTGTATCTTCCTCGCGAACTCGTATTTTTTGCCCAAATTGATAAAAGGGCCCCGCGCGTAACAAGCACGAGCTTGGTGTCGTTGGGCCACTTGTCTGTACTGCTCGTAGTGCATCAACGTCCATCATATATTTAAAAAAAAAAGAAATATATGTATATATATCATGTATATATAAATGTATAAATATATATATATATATCATATATATATAAATATAAAGATCAATTGTTGAGCTGAATTAGCAATGTTTGTCTGTCCGTCCATCAAAAACCTTTTTATACCCGTTACTCGTAGAGTAAAAGGGTATACTAGATTCGTCGGAAAGTTTCCGACCCCATAAAGTATATATATTCTTGATCAGGATCACTAGCCAAGTCGATCTAGCCATGTCCGTCTGTCCGGATGAACGCTGAGATCTCGGACAACTATAAAAGCTAGGCCATTGAGAATTGGCGTGCAGATTCCTGAGCTTCATACGCAGCGCAAGTTTGTTTCAGCAGAGTGCCACGCCCACTCCACAAACCGCCCAAAACAGTGGCTCCTACAGTTTTGATGCTAGCATAAAAATTTTAGCTGAAATGTATTGGTCTAACGCCCAAAACGCTTAAATCTGTCTACCGCCGGTGGGTGGCGCATTTTAATTTGATAGGTATCTGATAGTCGAGGTACTTGAATATAGCGTTCTTCCTTGTTTTAGTTTCCAAAATCTCAGCGTTCATGCGAACGGGCATGGGTTGATCGGCCCTGATGAATAATATATGTCGGAGAATATCTTAGATAGTGTGAGCATTTTGTTGTGCTGGTTAAGGATGGGGACTCAGTATAAGAGCTGAGGCTCGTATGTAGCTTCGTATCCGTTACAAGACCTGGTCACTTTTACTTCTTGAATTGAGTTGGTAGCGGACACGTTTTTGGCGAAGTATTCAATAAGATTCAAAAATAAAGAAAATCAAACTTCTTCAAGGGATTAATAGGTTAATTTCGCTTTGCTGGAGCAACAAAACAGACATTTTCAGGAACTGGTCAAGAATTTGCAGATATTTGCGAACGGGCTACAACAAAGGAGCGAAATTCGCTTGACGAAATACAATACAGACCTTGTGGATGCCACGCAGTTCTGCACTACGGTGGATATCATTTTAAGTACAAGATTGCTTTATGACAGCGAAATTATTTTTGGCGCTAAGTAAATCGTTGGAAGGCGCAGCAGCCAAGGGGTTATCTCAAATATGCAATCCAGGAGTAACCTGGTAGCAGTTCCCAAAACTTTTTGAGCATCGATACGAGATGCCAGCCGACGCTATTTTTCGTCTTCTTAACAGCCGTCCAAGCCGTGGTGAAAGCTGACCTGTCTTTTCGAGTCGTTGAATTCAGAGCTAATTTCTATCGCTTTGGTTTTTAGGCTAATTTGGATCGGCCTTTGTTACACATTTTACACACAGAGAATGTAAACAACCGACGTGATCTGGAAGCGGGCCGCAAGTCTTTGCTGCGCTGAAAGACAGTCCTGCTGCACCAAACTGGTAACCAGAGGAGCCTAAGCAGAGTATGCTGGTTTATGCTGAGATATTTCCGATTACCTTTGATTCGAGAGCTGAGTGTTTCTAATAAATAAGTTGGTAAGAGAATTTAATATTTCACCCGTTTAAAAGGCATAATAATCGAGCATGGTAAATCTTTGGTAGTTTTGTTTTCAGACGAAAGTATGGAAAATAATATTGTTATTGGATGGTTACTAATCATTTCAGAAACAAAGGAAGATTGCAACTTGTTTTAAAAATTTTTGCGATGGCCAAAGTGACGTTAAAAGATAAAGAAAATTGAATCACTTTTAGCTTTACCACCACCGACATAAATTGCTTTGGTAGTTTTGTTTTCAGACGAAAGTATGGAAAATAATATTGTTATTGGATGGTTACTAATCATTTCAGAAACAAGGGAAGATTGCAACTTGTTTTAAAAATTTTTGCGATGGCCAAATTTTCTTTCAACATTTCTAAATGGTGAAGTGACGTTAAAAGATAAAAAAAATTGAATCACTTTTAGCTTTACCATTACCGACATAAATTGCTACACCACCTGTGATTATTGGCTTGGCTCCATATTATCGTCAGTTTATTCTGTGGTTTTCAAAATTGATTAAGACTTTTTAGTTATTTTCTCCCATCTGACAAAAATAGTTACTGATACTGTACTAACGAACGGATTTTCAACTTCCTCTATAGGGTATGGTGCTATTTTTTCGCACCGCATAAACATAAAGCCGCATGTGGTGTAATACAACAGTAGAAGATCGAGCTCTTATGCGTCTACGCATACGTCTTATGAGTTGGAAACGGAGGCGGTTTTAAGTGCCGTAAAGTATTTTCGAGTTTTTGTCTAGGAATTTTTTGCATTCTATTTTTAAATGGAATATAGAGGGGTAAAGCCATGGTACGTGTTGTCTGTTTGTTAAAAGTCCAATAAGTCAGATTCCAAATTTTCAGTAACAATAAAATAAAAAAAGAAAAGCAAATTGATTTAATAAATAATTTGAATAATGACGATCTTCCGTTGTCACGAGTTGTCATTTATGAAATGAGATCAAATATTTTGTACAGAAAGATTAAAATTAACTAAGAACTCGTTGCTTACGTTGCACACTGGGCCAGAAAGTTAATTTTTTGGCCAAAAATCTGTAATTTCTTTACTGGGATAGTAAGAAGGATGCAGTTTTTTGCATTTAACTCTTAAAAGATTGAACTTTTCAACGAACTAAAAGTAAAATTTAGTGAATTTTTATATGGTATAGGTAATCCAAGCCAAAATATGAAAATTTTTCGATTTTTCGATTTTTTATTTTTATAAAAATAACTAGAAGACGCACTCAATCAATTTTCATACACGATTAAGTATGAGAGAAAACAAATTAAAAAAATTAACACCACTATAAATATTATGTCGTTAAAGATTTATGAACCGTTAAAAATTGCTACTTTCGAAGGCTCCCACTTCAACGTTTACTTAATAATCGACCTAACAAAATTATTTATTTTTTTCTTCTTGTTATCTTTTTAGATTCCTATAACCAAAATATTAGAAAAAAATTGTTGGTAAAATATGGTTTTTTAATTTGTTTAATGTTAGTATGACATATTCTGTAGTCATCACAAAAGTATGCTTCATTTATTTATTTATTTATTTATTTAAGATCATAGTAAAGTTTACAAAGGGAATACTAACATAGGGGGTGTAGTGCTAGCTACTAGGCCTTCGACTACGTATTTATTTAAGCTACATTTATACTTGTATAATATAGTTTAGTTCTCATCCGAAGGAAGTGCAAGAAATGCAGCATATCTTTAGGCATACTTAAGTCATCCCTTATGAACGACAGAAATTGTGAACATATTTTAGAGACGAGCCAAAAAAGTTGATATTTCTCTTTTCGAAATATCGATTTTTCATTCGATTGTTTGGTTTCAGAAATAAAAGAAGCGGGAATGAATGAAAAAGTAGATTTTAGATGTTAGGCAAACTAAAATCAAATATTGGCGCGCAAAACGTACATTAAAACCTCAAGAAAAAAAAATACGGCATTCCTTTGGGCATTCTTAGTAAAGCTCATCAAAATGGTTCGACTTAAAATTAAGCCTTCAATCAAAACTAAAACAAGGGAGAACGCTATAGTCGAGTACCTCGACTATCAGATACCCGTTACTCAGCTAAATGGAGATATGCAAGCAGCAAAGCGAGATTAAAATGCGCCACCTACCGGCGGTATACAGATTTAAACGTTATGGGCGTTAGAGTAGGCGTGGCAAATTTTTTTTTGGATCAATCGATAGGTATTGACGAGACCAATACATTTCAATTAAAAGTTTTGATCTAGCATGAAAATTGTGGGCGTCACAGGGTTTTGCGGTTTGTGGGCGTTAAAGTGGGCGTGGCAAACTTTTTTTTGGGTCAATCGATAGGTATTGATGAGAGCATTACATTTCAGTTAAAATTTTCTATCTAGCATCAAAACTGTAGGAGCCACAGTTTTGGGCGGTTTGTGGGCGTTAGAGTGGGCGTGGCAGTCTACTGAAACAAACTTGCGCTGCGTAGGAAGCTCAGGAATCTGCACGCCAAATCTCAATAGCCTAGCTCCCATAGTTTCCGAGATCTCAGCGTTCATCCGGACAGACGGACAGACGGACATGGCTAGATCGACTCGGCTAGTGATCCTGATCAAGAATATATATACTTTAAGGGGTCGGAAACGCTTCCTTCTGCCTGTTACATACTTTCCGACGAATCTAGTATACCCTTTTACTCTACGAGTAACGGGTATAAATACGGTAAAAGAAAACTACTTGCCCGAATTCTTTGAAACTTTGGCATAAATTAGTTTAATGTATTATAAAACGGACTCCATACTTGGTCTGGTCATTTAAAAAAAAAAAAGACGTATCTTTGGCCAGAAATCGGATCGGCTGGCCCAATATTATTGGATCTTTTGTATGTTCGTAGATTTGTATATTTGAGAACTGAATAACGTGCCAAGTTTCTAAGGATACATCACGAAGACCTCAAATTGAATTACAAAAAATTCCAAAAATAAGCATTCCTTGGCACACCGTCCACATATACATATCGGGAAAATTGCTTAGAAAAGCTCTAGGTCATGGCAAGATGCACTAGGGGATGGCCCTTAATTGCACAGTTAAATCGTAATACTATATGTAGTCCTCTAGATTTTTAGATTGGCAGAATTGCTAATTCCTATTCGGAATATTAAATTTAAATTTTCGAGTCGAAATTAGGAGAGCAAGCCGATAGAAGCATGCAGGATAGATATGAGAATACAAAATTTGACAAAGGTAATTAGTTTTACTGTGGGTGACTTTGTGTTGCTTAAAATCAGTGAGATACAGCAAACGAAATGGGATTCAAGGCTTAGAGGGACTTTCTAAGTTGAGGTTTTAGAGAAAGACCGATATGTTTTAAAGCATACGCAGAATAATTGGCGTTATAAGTATCCACACAAAAGTTTGCGAATGTTACCAGAAGAGCTTGGTGCAAATGATGAAGAACTAATTTTGTCAGAAAATTCTGTTTAAATCTGATCATTGTGCTTCATGTGATTTGTGAAGCCATGACTTTGGTAATGAACGAGATGCGTTAAGCCATTGAGTTTAGTGATGGACGAGATGCGTGAAGTTGAGTTTGGCGATGTTGCTAAAAAGTTCTTTAAGAAAAGTTAAGCTGTGTAATTGATTAAATAAGCTTATAATTTAATAAAAAGGTGGAAAAAAGTCAGGTTGAGTTACATGGCCCACAGTTTGATAATTTGTATACACGTTACTCGTAGAGTTTAAACGTATTCTAGATTCGTCGGAAAGTATGTAAGAGGTAGAAGGAAGCGTTTTCGACCCTATAAAGTATATATATTCTTGATCACTTGCCGAGTCGTTCTAGCCATTTTGTCCGTTTGTCCGTATGAACGCTGAGACCTTGGAAACTATGATAGCTATAAAGTTTGGAATTGGCATGTAGATTCTTGAGCTTGGGCTCCAGCAGTGTGCCACGCCCACTCTAACGCCCATAATCCTAAAACCTGTTTAGCGAATACATATTTGAAGATTTCGGAAAATAGTAAATATGAATAAAAATACCTATCTACGCGGCAATCATTATTTAACTCACATTTTTATTGAAAATAATGTGTACAATCTTGGAATCGCTTATCTGCTTGCATATCTTCATTTTTGTTCTCATCAATACCTATCGATTGACACAAAAAAAAGTTTCATGCAAACTTCAAAAAATCGTAAGTATGAATGCGAATGTCTCGGAAACTATCAAAGATAGAAAATTGGGATTTCAGATTCAGATTCTTTAGCCTTGCTTACAATATTAAATCTTAATCTTAAATATTAATCAAACGTGCCGCGTTCGAGAATGTCTTAGAAGGAGTAAACATTGTGTTGAGCTGGTTAATATATCGGCATGTCCAAGAATGTCTTAGATAGTGTGAATATTGTGTTGTGCTGGTTAGGATATCGGCCCAATAGTATGGGGACTAAGAGCCCGTTTCCATTATCAGCGCGTCGAGTTTGCATCCATTTACCGCTTAACGCGCCTCAAATCCCATACAAACTTGTTGATGAGGGGAGGGAGTAAAAATTCCGCGTTACAGGCTTGAAAGCCCTGTGGTATTTTCCAGCACCATACACGGATGCCGGAAGATCTCGGAAACTTTCAGAGCTAGAATGTTGGGATTTGGCATGTAGATTCTTGGGGATTCTGCGTCGCGCAAGTTTATTTCAGCAGGGTGCCACTCCTTCTCTAACGCCCACAATCGCCCATGACGCTAAAACTCGTTAGATTTTGTTCTTATTATCAATACACATCTTCAAAATGTTATAGCGAAATGCTAAAAAATTATTAGTAATCTCAAGAGAGTGGGAGAAGGATGAACATTTTTTCGTACAGAAAATCGGATGTTTGCGAAAGTTCACTAGCACCACCTTGTTATCAAGTTATGTGGCGTGTTAATAGAAAAATGAACCATCGACTTGGATATGTTGTCTCATAGTCCAAAATGAAATGAACCTGTGCTTGTAATTGCCTTAGAACTAAAAAATAATATTTGAACTTTACATATATTACCTGTCATAACTTGCATAAATTCTGTAATAAATTTTGATTTACTTTTTGTAGAAAATATAACTATTGAAAAACTTACCGTCAAAATCAACAGTTCCGGACCCATCCGCATCGATTTCTTCTATGATCATATCTAAGTCTTGGTTAGACAGTTTATCGTCTAGTTCGTGAAGAATACCCCTTAGTGTTGCAACTGTTAGATATCCTTTTCCTTCTTTATCGTATACACGAAAGGCCTCTTTTAACTCATTTTGAAGGGCTCCTACATCTTCCTCAACTTCAATGAAGCGGGCGGCCAGTTTACAGAACTGGCTGAAATCTAATTTACCTGATGCTCCTTTATCGACCTCTTTAATTAGAGCTTTAACCGCTGGCGGCTCCAATTTCTGACCCAATATTTCAAGAATGCTGGATACATCTGCATGCTCTATCCATCCTGCACCGTCGTGGTCAAAAGCTTTAAAAGCATTTCTTAGAACTAATAAAATGTTTATTAGTGTAAATTGTGTATGTCCAATTTGTACATACTTCTCAATTGTTCTTTATCATATTCTCCATCAGT